ACCTTTTTTGTACCCGCTCCCGAGCCTCACAAATAAACCACGCATAAACAAAAAAAAAAAATTCATCGTTTAAACGAAATGTTTATTAACTATTACCCGGCGTTTTCATCAAAAACCTGAAAATCATTACAATTGCTTGATTAGTTGCCAAAAACGCGTTAAAACTACGTATTGAAATATTTCAACACCGTTTTGCCCGTTAACCTGTTTGTCTGGACAGTTAGCTATTTGTCTTCGTATGCACAGACGAAATGCTTGGTTTTTCAAACAAGAAGTTTACACGAGTTATCCTAGCTGATTTAGGTTAATCGATTACCATCTGATGCTTGCATTTTTTTTTCATTGATATTTTGATGATAAAATGCCTGTGTATGTGATATGGAGTTCGACAATTCAAGCTAGAAAACTGATGATATTGAAAGGACAACTAAATATTTAAAATAACTGGAACTTTTTAGTTTTTACTTCGGCTAATACTTATGCATGAGCTTAAAATAAGAAAATTGAATTTCACGGTAGAAAATCGATTGATACTATACTTAAAAATCTTTCACAGTTTAAGACTATAATTTTCTATTTAAAAGTAATAACAAAATTATTTACTCTCATATCGACGCAATAATGCAGCTTTTTGATTTAGTAGAACTATATAAGTCGATTATTTAGTCTTGAAGAGCTTGGTTACTTTTGAAAAATATTTGAAAAAAAAAACGCAAAATGAACGATTCCCTATTCTCTGCATATCAATTCTTTATTATGTGAATTATTCTTTTTTCAAGTGTCTCTAAGAAGAAATGATATGACAAAGAAACAAACTATTATTTTTTAGTTTTGTAGTCTTGTTTATTTTAATATCGTGGATAGGAATGTCATTTTAACTTTATCTTACTTTACTTTACCGATAAAATAAAGTAAAGTTGGGATACTTTATTTTACTTGATAAAGTAAAGATTAAGTGATAATCGTAGGCGTGGATTTATGTAAGTAATGAAAATTGTGAGGTAAAATCGAAAACACTTTAGATATTAATCATTTTCAATATTGATTCACGCGATATTCCTCTATCACTTTATGTTCTCTAACTTTCTGTCTGTATTCTCCATATCTTAACGGGTGGCGCATGATAAATGACCCACTTTTGTGCATGATATTTATAGTTATCTGGTATGCTTTATTTAAAATCAAAATACATTAGTAAATGAAACTTAGCTAGCTCTACAATTTGCATTAAAAATGTTATTTAATTTAAGCATCTTTTGTTTTTAAAATTGAAAAAATTCTACTTGACCAATTTTCCATACTGTGAACAACACCAGTTATTGGTACACGACCAATACCTTGTTTTATTTCCTTCAATTAAAGAATTATAATTTTTGATTTTTTCCGTATTACATATTTTGTGGCCGATAGCGTCCCACACATGATAATCTAAAATGTTGAGATCTGGACTATTAGGTGGCCATTTCTTTTCATCGATGAACCGGGTAAATTCTTTTTTAATCCATGCTAGTGAATCCTTATGTGTGTGTGGGCTTGCGTTGTCTTGCTGATAAATGAAATTATCACCTAATAGACTTCGACTTTCAGCTAATGCATGCGAAAGAACAACCCCAATATAATTTAAGTGTGTTAGTGTTTCACCGAGTTAAAATATAATTGGAGTTGTAAGATTATTTTTACATTCATCTAGTCATACCATAATTCTTTTTGGAAGTTTCAATACTGGTCTTATTCCTCCATGTTCATCTGCTTCTTGTCGACTTGAAGCATAAACACGATGATTCTGACGATTGAATATACCGCCCAAACCAGAATATTTTTCATCAGTAAATAAAAGTTGGTAACGATCTTTTTTCTCAGCGATTTTTGTATTCAATATGCAAATGATATTCTTCGTTGTTTATGTTTATCGTGAAGATTTGGCTGAGTTCTAGCATGATAAGCATGTAAATGAAGATCCTCGTGAATTATACGACTCATTGTTCTTCTGAAAACTCGAAGTGATTTAGCTAATTGTCTTGCACTTCGTCGACTCTTATAAGTAAATCTACGTTTCACCTTTTGTATGGGATTTTTTGTTCGTATAATTCTGAGTTCACCAGCAGGTGTTTTCAAATCAATTGTGCCTGTTGTTTTATATAAATGTTGCCATCGGCTGACTGTACAATCACTAACCACCTTTCGTAATTGTTTAGCAATTTCACGCGGTGACATTCCATCGTCAATCATTAGCACTACAACTTTTCGAACGTCTTCCGATTTCATCTTTAAAAATAATCTAAAAAAGCACTTATACAGTCGATATTCTGTAATTGCATAACTCTTCAAGAGTCCAAACATATGGCATAAGAATAAGTGGAAAAAGTGGGTAAGTAGTGTATACTTGGATTGGTGCAAAAGTGGGCCAATTATCATGCGCCACTCATTATTCCTCTTTCAGTTTATTGTGGAACTCACGTATATTTTCGAAGAAAATAGTAAGTGTAAGTTTTCAGTTCAAGGTTGGCGGCTCCCCCCCATCCCATTACAGACACATAGCAATGGAAAAGAGAACATTACAGACCATAGCCACTTCACAAAAAGAATTCTACTCGAAGTATATAAATAAATAAAAACAAGATTTGCTGACAATCAATTATCATTAGAAAAGAATTATTGTCTTTGAGAGAATTTAAACATTATATATTTTGCCATCAGCACAGTGAATGTAAAGAAGATATGTGAGTTCCACATTTCAGCCCCAAAAGGGCTGCGCTAACAAGCTTTTTTTTCTTGTCTCCTAGCCATACATATAACTATCCTCATATTTGACTAAATTTTCTCCTTTTATTAATGTTCGTGACGGTAGAGGATAGAAGGAAGGAGAAAAAACTTCTGAGAACAACGATGCAGCTATAACAGTCACACCTGCCAAAGTCAAATATTTATATCCAGAATAGAATTAAAGATTTTTTTTCATTTGATATTTCTTAACTATGAGAGGATAGAGGCAGGTAAGTAGTTAGTTCCACTTCTTATAAAATGTCTTTTCTTCTTCCTCTATTGTAAAACACGATTTGAAACTTGTGTTGAAGTATAGGAGCGGAAATTTGAACTCCCGACATACCGTTCTGGATATAGGTAAGACACACAGATTTCTATATCGTCTTATCCTTTTTTTTATTTCAGCAGTATGTTACGACAACAGTGGTTTTTCTATATTGTATCCGTTTGATATCGACTGAATATTTATTATAAGAACAGTTTAAGTACTTTATTTTAGTCTAACATATGACTCAGCACGGTTTACTTCATTGAAGAATGCATGTCTTTCAGTACTATTGATCATTATCACAAATAAGAAGTGATCCTCGCCACTGACTCAATTACCAATCGACAGTGTACAGTAGATGGTTAAACGATTATTAGATCCAAAATCCATATAATAAAACCATGAAGAAACTTGCAAAGGGACTCACTTAATGTCGAAAAACGAACATTCGCTGTTGAAGCAAATTTTAATCAGTCTTAACGATATTGAAATCAAGCACATAAGATATTCTGTAATGAATATGCACTACGAACTAAGGATATGCAAAAAAAAATAGATTAAAACATGGAAGGCGAAGGATTTTTGTCGAGGAGTTTAAAACGATAGTTAGATCGATTGATAGGCTCATTGGAAAAACATATAAAAAAGCTGTTAGCGCAATCCAGTGCGGGATTAAAAATGTGAAACACGATGGATCTGTTGTTACTGATTAAATGAAAATCGTTTTGTTTCATTTCTTTGCAATATATTTGTAGCCAACCGTTTATCTGATCCTTTAGAACTACGGTTTCTCTGTCACGGTCTATGATGGATGTAAAGCCAGTCTGTTACGGTCTGTGATGGGGGAATTACCTGTCGGTAACGGTCTGTGTGGGGAGGGGGGTGCAAAATTTCTACCCTAAACACTTCAACACTCCTTTCAGGTCGTGTTTCACAAAATCTTTATCTAGAAAAAAATGGTTGCACTCGAGATTTTTAACATATCATTGCTATAAGTTGCCAGTTTTAGAAAAGCAATTATATATGCTGATAGCTCATAAAATTCTCTACAAGTCTATACATAAACATGTAAGATTACATTTATGCGCGAAAAAAAATTTAATTAGACAAAAGATATCTTTATCGTCACAGTTCTTCGAATTGCATTTTCTATTCTTTTTCTATTTATTTTTTTCAAAGTAATTCAATTATTGAAATTAGTTTGTAGGAAGGAAGTTATATATTCTGATAGCGCATGAAATTCTGCATCTTGTGATGTGCTATTCAGAAGGCAAAAAGACGTGCACGGGTATTAGATAGGGACCACAGTTACCGCACTATGTGGCAAAACTATACAAAACTGTTTAAATTGTGTCTGTACTTAGCAGTGTTTATCATTGTAGTGCAATCTGGAAGCGAAATAAATGGTATATTGAGAATCAGCGCAAAAAAACTGCATCAAATCAGATATCTTTAAAAAAATTCCTTTACGAAAAATTGGCCTGAATGAGACCATGGCGAAATTTCTCAAAAAACACTGCTGAGGAGAACCACAGGTGAATTTATCGTAAAAGAATTTTTTTTGAAAAGCTATCTGATTTGATGCAGCTTTTCCCCGCTGATTCTGAATATGCTATTTGTTTCGTTCTCAGATTGCGCTATAATGAAAGAAAGTGCTAAACACAAACAGAATTTTAAGTTTTCTGATAGTTTTGCCATATAGTGCAGTAACTGTCCAGGTAACGGTTTTTTCATCTTGAAAAAGTTCTTGGACGTCTATGACTTATGCAAATTAACGCGTTGAAATGCATCAAGAATGCAACATTTTCGAGTCTCTGAACGCATTTACAATGGACAAGCGCGTCTTCCTCGTCCCAATGCTGACAGTATCACAACGTAGTTATGTCAAAAGACGCGCTTGAACGTGTCCAAAATGCAACAATCTCAGACTGGTGAACGCATTCAATAGCCAAAACACGTGCAAACTCGTCTATCTTGCAGACGGATTACGGCGCGTTTTCGAATTTTGTTGCGTTTGGATGCAGTAGGAGATGAACGCCTTGTGATGCGTTTATTTTATTGCCCGGAAAAGAATAAAAAGAATAACCATCACTCTGTGTCGGAATCGAACCGATGCGCCATATTGAGATATGATATAACAGTCAAATCCTGTAAGCATAAGAGTAGTCATTATTCCAATCAGAGTTTGAACGAAGATTTAGATATATGATCAATCAATTGTGAATCGAACACAACTAGCTTTGAGCCAAACACAGTTCGAACTTGTTTCTATGTTCATTAATCGCATCAATAGGTCGTATAACACTACTTGTCACAACTTTGCGAATAGATCTGTTATATTTTTACTTCGTGAAATAAATATAAATAATATATTTCTCGGAAAAGAATTAAACTAAATATATTCGTGATATTTATAAGAAAATTAAAATAACGAAATCAAAATTTTTCATCAATAAAAAGATTAAAATTTCAGAACAAAAAAAAATACATCTACGTATAATATAAGGGTATTGATTAATTTCTTTTTTCTTACTTGTTACACCTCAATATTCAATGTTAATAAAATTTGAGAACACTACAAGAGACAATATATATGCAAAAGTTTTTGTCTATGTACTTTGTTGTAATTATAATATGAAAATATCGTTAGATATTTGAGGAAAGTAAAATATTAGGCTTCATTAAAATGGCCCCCTTTTTAATTTAAGTTTATTTACCTTCTTTAGAATAAAATATTCTTTTATCTTTTTATTATAAGCATACACTAAAAGCTTCATTTATCCTTATATTTGTAAGTAATAAAATTTTGTTAAGGGCACCCCCCCCCTCCCTTTCCCGGGTTTCTCGAGAACAGTTTGACCAAAAATTCTGAAACTTTCAGGGTAGATAGATTTCGAGTAGTAGAGCAAAAGTTGTTAGAGACTCAGAAATCCCCGATGTTTCCTTCTATGCGATATATGGGGCGCAAGAGCCCGAAACGACCTGAAGTTTTCCCCCTTTTTCTCCGAGACACTTCGACCGATTGCGCTGAAATTTTCTGTGTAACAACTAGGAACAAATCGGGGTGTGTATTTTTTTTTCTTTGAAAAATATTGTTTCCTTCGCGTGGGAAATCCAAAATACTGGAAGCCCTATCAAAAAACATGTTTTTTTTACCTGAAGCAAATTTTGTAAGGTCTGTCAAAAGTCACCATAACATTATTTTAAGATAAAAAAAAACATATACACCCCAATTTGATCCTAGTTGTTGCATAAAAAACTTCAGGCCAATCGGTCGAAGCGTCTAGGAGACAAAGGGGGAAAACTTCAATTTTTCTTTAAAAACATGGATTTCGAGAAAAACACGAAACAACGTAATACGCCATTTTTTCGATATTTTGTGGTTTTTTATTTTTGCATGCATAGCTATCAATTAATACACTTGCAAAGTGACTAGGATGATGCCTCCCTGACCCATACAACACATTTTGATGATGAAATGACTATAATAATATTGCTCATTTACTACAAGAAAGCGCTGTAAAATGTGATTTTTTTTGTAGAAGGGATCTCCAAAGTAGATTTTACAAGGACTTAAATAACAATGAAAGCTTTTCGTTCATATGCCATTCGATAGAGGACACTTAGGTGTATTTTTAGATACAAAAAAATCGAAATCGAAAAAAGTGAATTTTTGGGGTCGGGAAAGGGGGATGCCCTTAATGTCTTTATCTGTATTGCATAAGTTTAGAAGTTCTGTTTTAAGTCATATTTCATATTAGACAGCAGTAAAGATAAGCTTTGAAAAAGTACTGATGAAATTCAGATCAAATGAAAGAGTTGGAAATAAAAATAACATAGTTATAGGATTTATTTGCTTGCATAGGTAAGAAATGGTGAAATGCACAAAAAAAAGCTGTAAGTTCATAATCTGTTCTGCACTTTCCTCAAAATATTTTATATGTGATGTAGAACACGACATATAGTTTCGACAACAATTAAATATTTTCAATAAAAGATGTGCAAATAACAATCTATTATGAGACGCGCATTAATTTATATAATCAATGTGTTAAATCAAACTCAATTCAATTATATATTAATGATAGTGATGTAGTCTGAATTGTAGAATCCGGTATGATTCCAACACAAAAGAATGATATTTTCTGACTGTTTGACAATAAAGTAAAATTGTTTATCTCATAACAGTATCGTAATGTAGAAAAGCCAGAAAACGTATATTAATACGTTTTCA